CCCACGGTCCCAGACGTTCTCCCCACTCCTCACCTGGTTCCTGCTCATTCTCTGGGTGGCTGCTTAGCCTTGGTCCATCTGGGATGGCAGCATGGCCAGGTCCAGCGAGCGTGCTATCCTTAGAACCACAGGAGAGCCTCCCCTTGCACTGATCACGCTGTGATATCATGGCCCATGTGCTTGGTTTCTCTCTTAGATTGTGAGCTTCATGAGAGTGAGGCCATATCCATCTAGCTAGCTAATCTATCATCTATCTACCAAATCTATCATCTATCTATTATCTATTAATCTAATCTATCACCTATCTAATGTATCATCTATCTACCAATCTATCACCTATCTAATGTATCATCTATCTACCCATCTATCACCTATTATCTATCATCTATCTATCTGATCTATCACCTATCTAATCTCTCATCTACCAAATCTATCATCTATTATCTATCATCTATCACCTATTTAATCTATCATCTATTTATCTATTATCTAGCCATCCATCCATCCATCCATCCATCCATCCATCCATCCATCCATCCATCATCCATCTGTCCATTTATCTTCTCCACATGTATCCCCAGCACGTGGTACAGTTCATGGCCTGTAAAAGTGTCCGGCAAACACGTATTGTATGAACAAATAAATGAAAACAGAGCATTCTAGGTTATTTCTGCCTTTTCATTTTCCACTCTGCCCTGCACTTCAGGTGACGTCCAAAGCTCTGTCAGGTTTGATCTGGCACTGGACCCAGGCCGTCTGACTTCTCGTGCCATTTTCGATGAAACCAAGAACCCGACTTTGACTCGAAGAAAAACCCTGGGACTGGGGGTTCACTGTGAAATCCTGAAGCTGCTTTTGAAAGTGAGGACTTCGGGTTCTGAGAAGGGGGAGGGAGGAGGAGCCCAAGGGTGGCCTGGAGCACCCCCGCTCTCTGCAGAGCGAGGTGGGAAGGGTTAGGATGTTGGGGCTGGAGAGAGGAAAGCTGGGGCAGGAGAACCTGGCTCCACTGCTTGGAGGGGCACTGTCAGGGCAGTGGGGAATGGATGCAGTGCAGGAGGACTTGTGGTGGAGCGTAGAGGACTGCAGGTTCTTGAAAGCCTGTTCTCCCTCAGGATTGTGTGGAGGACGTGGTGAGCCCCATCATTCTGCACCTCAACTTCTCGCTGGTGAGAGAGCCCATCCCCTCCCCACAGAACCTGCGCCCTGTGCTGGCCATGGGCTCACAAGACCTCTTCACTGCTTCTGTGAGTTTTCCAATGAAGTCCCAGGGATGTCCTGACTTCATTTTGTCTCCATGCACTTAAGAATCCACTGTAGCTCCCAATCACCCAACCACATCCAGCCCAGAAACCTGACTCCAGTCTCTCCCTTCCTTCTCACACCCAGGCCTGTGGGTTCTGTCTCCAGGACAGACCTGAAGTCCACCCCATTCTCCTCCTGGTCCCAGCTGCTGCTTCCCCCAGCCCCTCGATTCTCTCCTACCTACACCAGAGTCAACACAAAGTGGTTCCCATATCTATTCCAGTACTCTCCCACCCATTTTCCATAGAGGAGCTAGAGTCAACTGGCCCTAAAATGCAAATCTAGGCTTTTCCGTCCCCTGCGTAATCCCCCTTGCATTTACAAAGACCCCGATCCTTCCCTCTGATGTCCTCTCTGACTTGGCCTCCTGGCCTCTCTGGCTTCACAGCATCCCACTCCCCCTTACTAGGCATGCTTTTAGTAAATGCACCAGCCTTGCTCTCCCTTCTGGTCTTAGGCCCTGCTTCCACCTCACATCCCAGGCGGTTCCCACTTTTCCCTAGCACAGTCTCTCTTGTTCATTCCCATATCCCTCCCAAGTTTCCTCATTCCTACCTCGGTACCTTTGTTCCTTTCTCGCCCCTCATTTGGAAAACACTGCCTTCTGCCTTCTCTTCCCCTCTCCCCTCGAAGTTCCAGCCTCAACTCCCACTCTTCTGAAGGCCACACTCAGCAGCTGCCGCTCCTTCTCTGGTCCCTGTTACACCAAGGTGGTGCCACAGCAGGTATCGCACAGCTGTTATAACCATCTGCATCTACATTTGAGGCTGTCTTGGGACTGTAGGTTCCTTGAGCATAGGAACGTTGTTGAATTTGTCTGTCGTTTCCACCTTCCCTCAGCCCTCACCCAACCCAGAACCTGCACAATTATTGGCACTTAATAATGTTTGTGGAATAATTGTTCCAGGATAAGCTGGATGTGACTCAACTGAACTTTCTGTCCCTTGAAGCCAAGGATCTTGTCCTATCTTCCTTTTATATGCCAACCTCCAAACCGCACCTGTGCTCCTTGTTGGTGTCCAGCAAAGTGCTGGGGGCAGTGGCTTAGTAATGCTCAATGTTGGTGGGTGCTTCTAAGGAGGGTCTTGGAGAAAGACTAAGACGTCAGATGGGAACAGAATGTACTGTTTTGCTGCAGCTCCCCTTTGAGAAGAACTGTGGGCAAGATGGCCTCTGTGAAGGGGACCTGGGTGTCACCCTCAGCTTCTCAGGGTGAGCTGTAACTCCTTTCATATCCAGACACTCGGGCTTCCGAGTCCCCCATCCTCCTGGGATGCTTGTGCTGCTCTCTGGCTCTCTTTCTAACAAAAGTGATGTTGACTGGGATGTTATTGGCCCAGAGTTTCCAGGGCTGCCCTGCCTTTCCCAGTTCCCGTCTATTTCCAGTGGAGTCCCACTCCCAGCCTTTCCGTTCAGTGGAGTTCCACTCCCAGTCCTTTCCCTTCAGCCTGAAGATCCTGATCGTGGGGAGCTCCCTGGAGCTCAATGTGATTGTGACTGTGTGGAATGCGGGCGAGGATTCCTACGGAACTGTGGTCAGCCTCTACTACCCAGCAGGGCTGTCCCACCGACGGGTGTTGGGAGCCCAGGTAACAACTGCTGTAGGCTCTAGTGGGAAGGGGCCTCTCCCCTGCCCTGTAGCCCTGGGAGTTACAGAATGTTCTTCAAAATTCTTCTGTGATGATATGTACTCTCTCTCTCTCTCTCTCTGTCTGTCTCTCTCTCTCTCTCTCACACACACACACACACACACACACAGAGAATGAGAAAGTGCATGAAGCATATATACAGTTTAATGAATAATATTAAACAAACCATAGAGTTAACATCCAGGTCAAGAAATAAATCGCTGCTAGTATCCCCAGAACCCCCTCCCCGTGTACCTTTCCCCATCACAGCTCCAGCCTCTCCCCAAAGGTCATCACTATTCTGACTTTGTGGTCATCACTTCCTTGTATTTCTCTCTCTCTCCCTCTGTCCCTCCCTTCCTCCCTCTCTTGTTTTTTGTTTTTTGTTTTTTGTTTTTTTGAGAAGGAGTCTTACTCTGTCACCCAGGCTGGAGTGCAGTGGCACAATCACCAATCACTGCTGCAGCCTAGACCTGCTGGGCTCAAGCAATTCTCCCACCTCAGCCTTCTGAGTAGCTGGGACTACAGGTGCATACCACTACGCCCAGCTAATTTTTAATTTATTTATTTTTTATTTTTATTTCTTTTAGAGACAGGGTCTCACCATGCTGCCCAGGCTGGTCTCAAATTGCTGGGCTCAAGCAATCCTCCCACCTCAGCCTCCCAAAGTTCTGAGATTATAGGCGTGAGCCACCGCACCTGACCATGTTTTTTCTGTGTGTGGGCTTGTTTAAGAAACACTTCCAGGTTATGAAAATAGCCCCCATATTATCTTCCAAAAACTTCATGGTTTTGCTTTTTCACATTTAAGTCTTTAAATCAGTTGGAATTTATTTTAATTTATGGAGTGGGGTAGGGATCCAATTTATTTTTCTTCTTTCTTCTCTTCTTCCTCTTGTTCTTTCTTTACTTTTCTTTCTTTTTTTTTTTTTTGTTTGGGTCAATGTTCCTGGCATTGATGGAAATTGATTGAAAAGTCTGTCCTTGGCTGGGCGAGGTGGCTCACACCTGTAATCCCAGCACTTTGGGAGGCCAAGGCTGGTGGATCACCTGAGGTCAGGAGTTTGAGACTAGCCTGACCAACATGGTGAAACCCCATCTCTACTAAAAATACAAAAATATTAGCCAGGCATGGCAGCAGGCACCTGTAATCCCAGCTACTTGAGAGGCTGAGGCAGGAGAATTGCTTGAACCTGGGAGGTGGAGGTTGCAGTGGACCATGCACTCCATTGCACTCCAGCCTGGGTGACAAGAGTGAGAATCCGTCTCAAAAAAAAAAAAAAAGAAAGAAAAGTGTGTCCTTTTCCCTACTGCTCTGCAGTGTCACCATTGCTGTGTATCAAGCCCACACATGCATGCGGGTAACTTTTTAAAATTCATTCTCCTCTCCTAGAAGCAGCCCCATCAGCGTGCCCTGCGCCTGGCATGTGAGACAGTGCCCACTGAGGACGAGGGCCTGAGGAGCAGCCGCTGCAGCGTCAACCACCCCATCTTCCGTGAGGGCTCTAACGTCAGTGCTTCCCCCGAAATCCCCATCACTGTCCTCCCTTGTCCCAATCCGTCCCTCACTCCACCATGCCCTACCTTTTATCCCCATTCTTTCCTTCTCCTTCCCTCAGGGCACCTTCATAGTCACATTCGATGTCTCCTACAAGGCCACGCTGGGAGACAGGATGCTTATGAGGGCCAGTGCAAGCAGGTGGGTACAGGCCAGGGTGCCCCCACCCTCCATCTCATGCCCCGGCTAGAGACCCCTCTCCTGGATTCCTTCCCATTGGTCCCCCCTTTCTTTCTCTAGCGAGAACAATAAGGCTTCAGGCAGCAAGGCCACCTTCCAGCTGGAGCTCCCGGTGAAGTACGCAGTCCACACTGTGATCAGCAGGTGCCCAGTCCCTGGCCCTCCCCGTGGACCTCTGGCCTTCCTCTATGCCTGGTACTCCCTCTGAGTCCCAGCTTGCTCTTCCAATGATGCACATCTAAGCTCTCCTGTTTTGGGATGCCTTTGTGGGTGAACAGCCATATATAATAATGTTTATGCTACATAAAGATGTTTCTGGGCTGGACGTGGTAGCTCACGCCTGTAATCCCAGCACTTTGGGAGGCTGAGGCAGGTGGTTCAACTGAGGTCAGGAGTTCGAGACCAGTTTGGCCATCACGGTGAAACTCCATCTCTACTAAAAATACATAATTAATTAGTTGGGCGTGGTGGCGCGTGCCTGTAATTCCAGCTACTCGGGAGGCTGAGGCAGGAGAATCACTTGAATCCGGGTGGCGGAGGTTGCAGTGAGCAGAGATCATGCCACTGCACTCCAGCCTGGGTGACAGAGTGAGCCTTGGTCTAAAAAAAAAAAAAAAAAAAAAATTAGCTGGACATAGTGGCGCATGCCTGTAATCCCAGCTACTCAGGAGGCTGAGGCCAGAGAATCTCTTGAACCCGGGAGGTGGAGGTTGCAGTGAGCTGAGATCACGCCACTGCACTCCAGCCTGGGCAACAGAGCAAGATTCTGTCTCAAAAAAAAAAAAAGGTGTTTTTGTCAACAATGGACCCACATTTACTATGGCCTCCTAAAATTATAATGGAGTTGAAAAATCTCCTAGGTATGCCATAACAGTTGTAACATTGTAGTGCAACTCGTTGCCTTTTTATGTCTAGATACACAAATACTTTCCATTGTGTTACAACTGCCTACAATATCCAGTACAGTAACATGCTGCACAGGTTTGTAGCCCAGGAGCAATAGGCTACACCATATCACCTAGCTGTGCAGTAGGCTCTACCATCTAGGTTTCCATAAGTGTAACCTATGATGTTTGCACAAGGATGAAATTGCCTAAGGCTAGGCGCAGTGGCTCAAACCTGTAATCCCAGCACTTTGGGAAGCTGAGGCAGGCGGATCACCTGAGGTCAGGAGTTCAAGACCAACCTAGCCAACATGGTGAAACCTTGTCTCTACTAAAAATGCAAACATTAGCCCAGTGCCGTGGCACATGCCTGTAATCCCAGCTACTGGGGAGGCTGAGGCAAAAGAATCGCTTGAACTTGGGAGGCAGAGATTGCAGTAAGCTGAGATTGTGCCGCTGCACTCCAGCTCGGGGGTAACACAGGAAGACTGTGTCTCAAAAAAAAAAAAAAAGAAAGAAAAGAAAAGAATAGAAAAGAAAAAGAAAAAGAAATTGCCTTACGATTAATTTCTCGGAATGTATCCTTGGTGTATTTGTACCCTAATAATATATACCACAGCTCTTGCTGCTTCTCTCAAACCGACTTGCTGGTGGGACACACACACTTTGCCACGGCTGTGCCTTTCTTTTCCGCCTCTGCCTCCAAAAGGAAGGCTTCCTTTTTTAACATGAAACACATCCTGTCCTTTGTATTAAATGTGAATGTGCTGAAGCACAGCTGCTAGATGGAGATCAAGACTTTTCTGAGCACCCTGAATTGGGGAACTTGTGCCCAACAGGATATGGTCTGTCACCACACAGCAGAAAGGAAAGGTCGGGTTTCTATAAAACTCAGAGTGGGGCAGAGGTGTGAGAAACTGTTGGGAAGGTCTCTAAGAGCCCGGCCGAGGCAGCGCAGGAAGGGTAAGTGTAGGGCTGAAGGCAAGAGGGCACTTCAGGTGGGTGCAGGCGCAGAGGCAGGCCAGACTGGACGCAGAGCAAGGCATCCCACACACTGGGCTGAAAGCCTGTAACATTGCTGTGGGACAGAGTTTGCTGCTATTGCTTTTTTTTTTTTTTTTTTTTTTTGAGACAGTCTCGCTCTGTCACCCAGGCTGGAGTTCATTGGTGCAATCTGGGCTCACCACAACCTCCACCTCCCAGGTTCAAGCGATTCTCCTGCCTCAGCCTCCCAAGTAGCTGGATTACAGGCATGCACAACCACATCTAGCTAATTTGTTGTTGTTTGTTTGTTTGTTTGTTTTGAGATAGAGTTTCACTCTTGTTGCCCAGGCTGGAGTGCAATATTGAGATCTCTGCCTCCCAAGTTCAAGCAATTCTCCTGTCTCAGCTTCCTGAGTAGCTGGGATTACAGGCATGCACCACCACGCCTGGCTAATTTTGTATTTTTAGTAGAGACAGGGTTTCTCCACATTGGTCAGGCTGGTCTCGAACTCCCGACCTCAGGTGATCTGCCCGCCATGGCCTCCCAAAGTGCTGGGATTACAGGTGTGAGCCACCACACCTGGCTGCTGTTGCTTCTGATGTATTAAGTTGTTAGGGGAAGGAACGAGGGAGATCAAGCAGTGTCATTGTCTTTTCAAGTCACACGTACGTTTCCTTTTCTATCCACAGGGAAATATTTACAATAAGAGCTTACAGTTATATGTACCCATGTCAGGCATCGTTGTATGTTGCTGTTGTTTTAAGGTGGTTTTCTTGCATCATCTTAAGTACTTTATATGTATTTACATTTATTTAATCCTCACAATAATTATATTGTTACCCCGATTTTCATCAACAAAGACATCAATAAGTGAAATACTTTGTTCCTGTCAATCTCCAAGTGAGCAGCAGAACCAGGAATCAGACCCAGACAGTTTGGCTGCAGAGCCCATGCCTATGCCGTATATGGCATGCCTCTCCAAGCACTGGGGAAAGCTGAGTGGTTTACTTCGATCTGAAAACAGGCTTAGGCTGCACATGGTGGCTCATGCCTGTAATTCCAGCACTTTAGGAGGCTGAGTGCTGGGATTACGGGCATGGATGGGAGGATGGCTTGAATCCAGGAGTTCAAGACCAGCCTGGGCAACATAGCGAGACTCCATCTCTACCCAAAAAAAATTTAAAATGAAAATAAAATAAAATTTTAAAAATGAAAAGAGGCTTAGAACTAGATTTTAAGGTGAGAAAACAGAAGCACAGAGAGAAGGGTTTCGGGTGGGAGGCACAGAGGAAAACCGGCATACTTAGGGAAAATAAACCCCTAAGATTTATGGAGGACTCCCTGCGTGCTGGGCACTACCAAGCCCTGGTCACAACTCTACTACAGGGAGGTGCTATGGTTCGCATCCCCATTTTAAAGAGTGAAAAGCTACAGGTTCCAGAGACGTGAAGCGGCTTGCCTTAGTGACTCAGGTAGGAAGTGGTCGACCTGAGATGTGAACCCAGGCAGTTTGACACTGGAGTCCCTGTTTTTAGTCATCAGGCTGATGGGGGGTGGACTGCTGGGGCCGTTTCTGTGCGGCTGGTCTGGCTGCTGCGTGCGAGGTGCAGGCCCCTCTGCTGCTCTGCTTACTTTTGCTTTTTGTTTGTTTGTTTTGAGACAGGGTCTCACTCTGTTGCCCAGGCTGGAGGGGAGCAGTGTGAACGTAGCTCACTGCAGCCTCGACCTCCCAGGCTCAAGCAATCCTCCTGCTTCAGCCTCCTGAGTAGCTGGGACCACAGGCGTGTGCCACCACGTGCAGCTAATGTTTGTATTTTTTTTTTTTTTTTTTGCAGAAATGAGGTCTCTCTATGTTGCCCAGGCCAGTCTTGAACTCCTGAGCTCAAGCGATCCTCCTACCTTAGCCTCTCTAAGTGTTGGGATTATAGGCGTGAGCCACCTCGCCTGGCCAGCTTGCTCCTTATTACTAAAACCAGGGAGTATGGCTTAACTTGAACCCACAGTGCCAACCACACAGCCTGTGTTTGCTGAAGGAAGTCTGGGTGGAAAGACCCCACCTGCCTTCTGGAACACCGATGTCCCTTCCATAGGCTTGTGCACAGGCACCATCTTCCTTCACGTTTACTCACCTGCCCCAGGACAGCTGAATCTGTTTTCTTCATTCCCACCATGAAGGGGCCCTCACTCCATGTCTTCCTGAGTGATCCAGCTCTCCTTCCTAGAGTCCCCTTAGGCTAACTTGTTCTGCTGCAATCTCTGTAAGCATTACCAGAGGCCAACCACTAACTATTAGAGAAAGCAATGCAAATGCCTTTGCCCCATGTAGGAGAGGTGAGGTTTAAGTTGGGGTTTTAAGTGTAAATTTCCAAAATGGGAGATAGTAAGAACATTCCAAGGAGAAGAGCTTGAGCAAACTCATGAGACTATGAAAGAGCCAGAGGTGTGCAGGGCAGAGCTAGTGGATCTGGGTGATGGGGGCAAGGGACATCGGGGGGAGGGGGCTGAAGCCGAGGCAGCAAAGGTTATGTGGGACCATCTTTTATTTGTTTATTTTGAATAGGGACGGGGTCTCACTATGTTGCCCCAGCTGGTCTGGAACTCCTGGGCTCAAGCGATCCTCCTGCCCCAGACTCCCAAAGTTCTGGGATAACAGGCATGAGCCACTGCACCCAGCCAAATAATGTCCATTATTATTTCCCTGAGAAATGTGCCTGGCCAAACAGAGCTCTCTGCAGTAGGACAGGGCACAACTGGGGACAGTTTCAGGGCTGTTTTTCACCCACAGGCTCTCTCCCCAGACAGGAAGAATCCACCAAGTACTTCAACTTTACAACCTCTGATGAGAAGAAAATGAAAGAGGCTGAGCATCGATACCGCGTGAGAGTCTAGGGAGTATCCCTGTCTGCCTTCCACAGTGTGGATAAATTTGGAAGTTGGTGGAGAAGACGGAGAGGAGCTTGGGGTAGGGCCAGGAGGGAAGTGGCATTTGGGAGGCTCCAGAGACCACAATAACACTCTGCCTTGATTTCCTGCAGGTGAATAACCTCAGCCAGCGAGATCTGTCCATCAGCATTACCTTCTGGGTTCCTGTCCTGCTGAACGGGGTGGCCGTGTGGGATGTGGTCGTGGAGGCCCCATCCCAGGTACCTGCCTGCCTCTTCTCTTTCTTCAGACTGGCATCCCACAGCACGGCACTGCCTCTTACCAGGGACATGTTGCTCATTCTGTGGCTAACTGCTTCTCTCTCTCCCCAGAGTCTCCCCTGTGTATCAGAGAGAAAACCTCCCCAGCATTCTGACTTCCTGACCCAGATTTCAAGAAGTCCCGTGCTGGTAAGAAAGTCCCTGAACCCCCACCGCAAGATCAGCCCCCACCAGGGATACCGAGAAATGTAGCGCTAGGCCGCAGAGTTCCGTGCATGTCCTGTAACTGTTCATCTGTTCCCCACCCCAAACCTGACCATATTTTTACCTATGGTTCCCTCCTCAGTGAAGAACCCCTCAGCTTCACCCCTCTTCTGCCCCCAGGACTGCTCCATTGCTGGCTGCCTGCGGTTCCGCTGTGACATCCCCTCCTTCAGCGTCCAGGAGGAGCTGGATTTCACCCTGAAGGGCAACCTCAGTTTTGGCTGGGTCCGCCAGGTGCGTGAGGGCAGTGGCAGAGCACCTGCCCCGGACTCAGGCAGGACCTGGCATGTCTGTGCCCATCTGCAAGCCAGGGCATCCCTGGAGCTCTGAGCCTCCCCCAGAGCCAGTTTCACAGGCTTCCCCCAACCCCTTTGCAGACATCGCAGAAGAAGGTGTCGGTCGTGAGTGTGGCTGAAATTACGTTCGACACATCCGTGTACTCCCAGCTTCCAGGACAGGAGGCATTTATGAGAGCTCAGGTAGAGACCGTGTCGGGGGCAGTGACCAGGCTGGACAGAGGGCCCCTAGGGCTACATCCGCGGCGCTGGGTGGGGGTTTGCAAGCCTTGGGGGAGGAGGGTGAAGGTCTCTGGGTAAGACAGCTGTCCCTCAGGGCACGGGTGCTGCTGCGTCTCAACCCTTAGAGCAGAGCCTCAGGGAGGAGGGGAGGGAGTTAAAGGTTGGGGAACCTGGGAGGCATCCGGGATGGCAGGAGGCCAGACGCTCTCTGATCTCCGAATCAGATGGAGATGGTGCTAGAAGAATACGAGGTCTACAACGCCATTCCCATCATCATGGGCAGCTCTGTGGGGGCTCTGCTACTGCTGGCGCTCATCACAGCCGCACTGTACAAGGCAAGTGTTTTATCCCACTCTTTTTTTTTTTTTTTTTTTTTGAGACAGAGTTTTCACTCTTGTTGCCCAGGCTGGAGTGCAATGGTGTGATCTTGGCTCACTGCAATATCCACCTCCCGGGTTCAAGTGATTCTCCTGCCTCAGCCTCCCGAGTAGCTGGGATTACAGGTGGCCTGCACCATGCCTGGCTAGCTTTTTGTATTTTTAGTAGAGATGCAGTTTCACCATGTTGGCCAGGCTGGTCTCAAACTCCTGACCTCAGGTGATCCGCCTGCCTCGGCCTCCCAAAGTTCTGGGATTACAGGCGTGAGTCACCACATCCGTCCGGCCTTATCCCACTCTTGACACCACCAGCATCCAACCCAAGCCCTTCTACAGACTGGGTGGTATAGTGAGAACTCAGACTGTGGAGGCAGGCAGGCCTGGACACACATTTTGGTTCTATCATGTATTCACTGTTTAATGTTAGGCAAGTTGCTCCACCTCTCTGAGCGTGTTTCTCTCTCTCTCTTTTTTTTTTTTTCTTTTTTCTTTTGAGGTGGAGTCTCACTCAGTTGCTCAGACTGGAGTGCAGTGGCACAGTCTCAGCTCACTGCAACCTCCACCTCCCAGGTTCAAAAGATTCTCATGCCTCAGTTTCCCAAGTAGCTAGGACTATAGGCACACGCCACCACACCTGGCTAATTTTTGTATTTTTAGTAGAGACAGGGTTTCACCATGTTGGCCAGATTGGTCTTGAACTCCTGACCTCATGTGATCTGCCCACCTCGGCCTCCCCAAGTGCCGGGTTTACAGGCGTGAGCCACTGTGCCCCGCCGTTTCTCATTTTTGAAATGATAATAATGCTTATATCACAGAGTGGCTGAAGTGAGAGAGAAATGAGGCCAGGGCATGTGCACAGATCTGCCTGGATCTATGCTGTCCTGCCACGGGTCGTGTGTGTACCTACTGTGCTTGGGGCCAGCAGTTGCTCAATATATGATAGCTGTTGTTCACATAAAGGTTCTCACACACAAATGTAAGTTAGCTTAGTTGTTGCCTCCTCTCCTCTCTCAGCTTCTTCTTATTCCCAATTTTCTTCCCTGCCCTCTTACCCAGATTTTCTTTCTTTCTTTTTTTTTCTTTTTCTTTTCTTTTTTTCTCTTCTCCTTTCTTCTTCTTTTATATGGAACCTTGCTCTGTCGCCCAGGCTGGAGTGCAGTGACATGATCCTGGCTCACTGCAACCTCCATTTCCCGGGTTCAAGCGATTCTCTTGCCTCAGCCTCCTGAGTACCTGGGATTATAGGCGCACCACCATGCCCAGCTAATTTTTGTATTTTTAGTAGAGACAGGGTTTCACCAGGTTGGTTAGGCTGGTCTCCAGCTCCTGACCTCAAGTGACCCACCTTCCTCAGCTTCCCAAAGTGCTGGGATTAGAGGTGTGAGCCACCGCACCTGGCCTTACCCAGCTTTTCTCACTTATTTCCCCTGATAGCTTGGCTTCTTCAAACGCCACTACAAGGAAATGCTGGAGGACAAGCTTGAAGAAACTGCCACATTCAGCGGGGAAGATTTCAGCTGTGGGGCCCCAAATGTGCCTTTGTCCTAATAATCCACTTTCCTGTTTATCTCTGCCCCTGTGGGCTGGTCTTGCTTGCAACCATAAATCAACTTACATGGAAACAACTTCTGCATAGATCTGCACTGGCCTGAGCAACCTACCAGATGCTAAGCACCTTCCGAGAGAGGTAGGGATTGTAATATTTTTGCATATCTGTCCACCTTTTTTAGTGATGACCCACTTTTTACAGAAACAGGCATGGTGCCAGCATAAATTTTCATGTGCATAAGAATTGTCACATGAAACGAGGATGTTTATAGCACACTTTCCTTGCATGGAAGAGCTATAACCCAGGGACCTGAATGCCTCTCTGGCAATAGTTGGGGGAACCTGTTTGTGGGCATTGAAAAAGTTTTCTCACTTTCTATGGTGATGGGAGCTGAGGGCATCTTTTCTTGATGGGGCTGAGAGGTGTCTCAGGGGAGAGAGTCAAAGAGTGTGTGTGTGTGTGCGTGCGCATGCACGTGCACGCAGGATGCATTGGTCATGGGTTTCTGCACACACTTCAGGTTCCTCCGTAATGGTAAGTGGGCAGGCTGTCCTAGGAGGTGAAGAAATGTCCAGAGCTCATCTGAACTCCTGTCCCCATTGAATGGGGTATTCAGAAGCCAGGAAAGCCAGGCTTGGAGCATGTGATTTCCCAAATAGAAGACCAATTAAGAAAGATTATAGAGAATGACCAAAAGATTCCAAATCCAGCATTAGGTCCCGAGGCCTCACACACAGGACTGTGGAGCCTCCGTCTGAAATCCAGATAGCTGGGGTTCACAGACACCAGCGGCTCAGGTGTCAGGCAAGAAGTGGGACTTCAGGATCTGCAGCCCTGGGCTCCCAGGGGGGCTCTGCAAGCTGCCTGAACTTCGACAAGTCATTTAATTCCCGAGAATCTCAGGTCCTCCTCTGGAGAAGGGGAACTAAAATTATACCCTACTCCCAGCGTTACTGTGAGGATTCAGTGTATGAGGAAGCCCATTACAGCCTACAGCCCTAATTTTTAATAGGTGTGCGTGAGACAGAGGCCTCATTATTACGAGGTGAGAGAGAGTGAGCTGGGATCGCCTACCTGTGCGTGGAGGAGGCTCCCTCAAGCACCCCAGTATCAGCCACGTGGGAAAAGCACGTGGAGCGCCCACCGCGCAAGGCGCATGCGCGGAACAGGCGCTTACCAAGCTGGGCGCAGGCACGGAGCGGGCGCCTCCGGGTGCATTCCCAGTGGCCCCGCCCTCCCCATAGAGCCTCAGACACGAAGCTTCACACCTTTATTGCGCCCGGGGGCGTCCGGGGCCTCAGGGGTGTTCGTAGCCAGTGGGCAGTGGGTTGACGTGGCTGTTGTGGAACAGAGTGTGGTTACCGTCCCCCCAGGGGAAGGGCTGTGGAGAGAGCGGAGGAGGGAGCGCGCGTGAGCGCCGTAAGTCCGGAGTCCGCGCCTCCCCCGCCTCCCCCTCCACGCGCCCCACGCTCCCCACGCTCCCCATGCACCCCGCAGCACCCCCGGGCCGCCCGCGCGCCCGTCCCGCGTACCTTGGTGCGGATGCGGAGGTGCTGGTAGGGACGGAACTCGGGGCGCGGGCGGTGGCCTGAGTGGAGATAGGAGTTGAGGGTGCAGAGGGCCACGCTGGGCAGCGCCAGCACGAAGGAGAGCAGGCGCCAGGTGCGAGCTGCGGATGGAGAGGGGTGAGCGCGCAGGGCCTGGGGCGGCGGGCCCGGGAACAAGTGGGCAGGGTAGGGGAGCCCCGGGATCCGCCCGCTCCCCATTCACCTGCCGACCCTTCGTGGCCTCCTTTGGCAGCGCTGGCCAAGCCCCGGGTCAGGGGCCTCAGAGGCAGAGCCATGGCAGTGCGGGGAGCGGGGAACCAGCGCTGTCCTCGCTCCCTTTACCGTGGCCTGGGGTCCCCTCCCCTCTCTGGGCCAATCACCTGTTGAGTCTGGAGCACGAGCGGCTATTTTTAGAGGTTTCTATATTTACAATGGGTCCTGACTAGCTTGAGATCGTCTCCAGACAGCTGTTGTCCTGTGCCTCTTATTTTGGCAAAGGGGCATTTGAAGTACAATATGCCATTCTTTTTATATAGTTGCAGGGAAACTATTTTGTTCCCTATTCTATGCCTGGTGGCTGGCACACGGTTGGGCTTTAATAAATATTTGTAGAATGAATGAAGTGTCTTTTTGAGTCTCAGTTTTTTCAGCTGTAAAATGTGTAATTCGTACCTGAAAAGATTTTTTAAATAATGGAGGCGGGGGGATCTCACTATATTGTCCAAGCTGGTATCTTAGCTGTTGTGTCCAGACGTATCTCAGCTGTTGGTGGTGAAGGAGGTGAAGGCATGACTCAGGGTCAGTTTCTTCCTGGAATGCTGCATACTGTGACCACATTTTCTAAAGCAAAGATTGATTACAACATGTGATCTACTAAGTATAAATGTTTATGGGGGGCCTAGGGACAGTGTATTTGAAATTGGAATTGTCCTGGAAAAACTGTCCTGGTGTGGAACTCTTGAGCTCAGGTGATCCTCCCGCAGTGCTGGGATTACAGGCATGAGCCACCGCACCCTGCCCTTACATGATTTTTATGAAGTTTATGTAAGGTAGGAATGTGTCAACCTGGATTTTGTCAGGTAACAGTAGTTCAGTATATGTATTAGTCACAGTTCTTTGCAAAGAACAGAACTCACTCTCACTAGTTTTAAAAGATAGGTAATTGAGAATCTTAGGTAGCTCACTATGTCTGGTATAGCCAGAGAGGCCTACAGTCTCCACAGTCAGAAACAAGTCATTCCATTGGCCAGCTGCAGTGACACGCCCACAGCTCACACTGCTGGAGCCTGGATGCCAAAAGCTTCATTAAGGCTGCCCTGGAAAGCCAGAATCTTCCAGTCTCATCCCCTCTTGAAAACGGATTATTCATGTAACCTGTATCCTGGGTCGCTCTTTTCTGAAAAAGAATTATGTGATTGCACCAACCGGCAACCCCTAGGTGCCCCAGCTGCAGGAGGGGTTGGGAAACTGAGCTCTGGATTCTGCCTTAGTCAGGCAGGAATTGTAGGGAAAATCTCCAGGTCTAGGATGAGTATTCAGAAGGTTCCAGGCAGCCACAAGCCTGACAGGTGTCTACTGCAAAGTGCTTTATTTCAATCTGAAAAATACGACTGCTTGGAGAAAGAAAGCCTACACAGGGCCGGTGTGAACCCTTTATCAAAGCAGGTCACGAGAAAGCCACAAGACCAGGCAGGGATGACATCTGCCTGTTCTGTCCTCAGCACCCGGCATGGGCCTTGGCATGAAGTAGGTGTTCTAAAAATATGTATGTAATGAATGCTTGAACCTTGTTACTTTGGTTAACCCTACAGCAATGCCTTTTCAGAATTACAATCCAACAGGAAGCTTCCAGCTTTCATCAAGGGCTGATGTACTAATATGAACTTAATATATAAAAGAAAAATGAATTATATAGACATATAATCTGAATTTAATATACAAAAGAAAAACGAGGAAGGTACACTTTCAAGAAGGGGCTCTATACCAGTTTCTTTTTTTTTTTTTTTTTTTTTTTGAGATGGAGTCTTGCTCTGTCGCCCAGGCTGGAGTGCAGTGGCCGGATCTCAGCTCACTGCAAGCTCCGCCTCCCGGGTTTACGCCATTCTCCCGCTAGTAGCTGGGACTACAGGCGCCCACCACCTCGCCCGGCTAGTTTTTTGTATTTTTAGTAGAGACGGGGTTTCACCGTATTAGCCAGGATGGTCTCGATCTCCTGACCTCGTGATCCGCCCGTCTCGGCCTCCCAAAGTGCTGGGATTACCAGTTTCTTGTTGGTAATAAACCGAAGAGTAGGTTCCACCCAACTTTAGCTGCTGCTGCTACTTTTTTGAAAAATAACCTCCTTGAGCAGTCAAATGTTATACAATGTTACAAAAATTATTCCTGAGCTCTCACTGAGCTATAACAGAATTCTTCCTACAGTTGTTTTCCCAACTGGACTTTGGCATTGTTGCAGAGAAGATGGGGCCCTATTCCAGTTAAAGATACCTGGCATCTCCCTCTACACATAGCGCCCTCCCTACGTATATAAGACAATGGCTCCTGGAGAAAACAGATATGAAGACAGGTATTTTTACTTGAAAAAGTTCTAGAGGCCGGGCATGATGGCCCACGCTTGTAATCCCAGCACTTTGGGAGGCCGAGGCGGGCGGATCACTTGAGGTCAAGACTTCAAGACCTGCCTGGCCAACATGGTGAAACCCTGTCTCTACTAAAAATACAAAAATTAGCTGGGTGTGGTGACGTGTGCCTGTAGTCCCAGCTACTCGGGAGGCTGAGCAGGAGAATTGCATGATCCCAGGAGGTGGAGGTTGCAGTGAGCCAAGATTGTGTCACTGCACTTCAACCTGGGTGACAGAGTAAGACTGTCTCAAAAAAAAAAAAAAAAAGGAAGGAAGGAAGGAAGAAAAGGTTCTGGCCCCTCAGAGTTTTGGTGGTGGTTGCCAAACAATTCCCTGGGAATTCCCATCCCTTTGTTCTCAGCTTGGGAGCTCCTATGGAGAGGTTTTCTTGCTGAGACATTGAGAATGCCCTGAGGAGGGCCACTCCTGTCCTGGGCTGCTCAGGTAGTCTGTGCTTTTCTGGGCCTGTCACCATCTTACCTGCCTCTCTAGAAGGTGTGCAGAGCTGTCTCTTCCAGGCTGTGCACTCACCATTGTTTTTGTAAGTTCTCACTCACACAGTTCATGAACCTGGCTGCTGCCAACACTTTCAGTTTCTAGAGGTTTAATTTTTCCTCCACTTTAGGCAGAGGGAAGAACAAACTCACCAGGTGCTAAATCAACCCCGGAGGGCAGCATCTCAGCCTCTTTTCAGACATATCTCAGCTGTTGGTGGTGAAGGAGGTGAAGGCATGACTCAGGGTCAGTTTCTCTTGTACCCTCTTCCTGGAATGCTGCATACTGTGACCACACTTTCTAAAGCAAAGATTGATTACAACATGTGATCTACTAAGTATAAATGTTTATGGGGGCCCTAGGGACAGCGTATTTGAAATTGGAATTGTTCTGGAAAAACAACTGTATGGTGACACAGGACATGGGTTAGCTAGAATGAACAGGTAGAGAGAGTTGGAGCTCAGACAGCATTGGGGTGGGGTCCAGTGGCAACAGGGGCATAGACTCTAAATAAACAGGGCTCTGAGCTCCCTCTGCACTTGGGAGGGGCCAGCAGCTATGTAATAGTGGATGTCTACTGTTTTGTGTCATATGACCAATATATCTATGCCTTTGTTTCTGATACTGAGACACACCCTCCTGCCCACCTTATTCTCAGTTCACAGTTCAAGTGGGATGGACTCTCTCCTCTAGCTCCAAGAAGGGCCACATGATCCAGGCCTACCCAATCAGAGCATTCTATTCTCCAGGCCACAGTGATTGTTTTTTTTTTTTTTTTTTTTT